CACCACAGGACAGTGCCACTACCAGAAGCATGCCAACGAAACGGGTTGACCACCCAACCCCATGAGCCCTCAACAAACCTCCGTAGCCCCGAACCAGGGAAATGGAAGAGTGTTGACAAACTCAGGGAGTGTGGCTGCACAAACGGTGCCCATCGCAGGACAACAGCACTCAGGACGGAGGAAGAAGACCCACGGACAGCCAATGAAGGCCAGAGAAGTAAAAGGGAAGGTAAAGCATGAGGCCCCTCCTATCGCTCCCAATGTCCCTTTACGGCCCTCAATAAGGAAGCAAAGACATGTTGAGAAGCGAGCAAGGAGAGCTACAGGCTCAGCGCCCCCACCACCGAACCCACCAAGAGAAGGCAGAGCACGCAGCCTCGGTTGATCACTCTCGATGCCCCTCCATGGCCCACGAACCAGGAAAATGAAGACACATTGAGAAGCAAACAAGCCAGACAGCGAGCTCAGCACCCTCTCCAAAGGACCACCGAAAGGAGAAGGAAAACAGCCAAGGAAAAGGAAAAACGCACCAAAGAACAGCTCCCACAGGAAAGCCACAAGAGCGTACCCACACCACTCTCACCACAGCCAACGACAGCAAGAGAGGGAAAGGTAGGAAAGGCAAGAAAGCCACGTCAGGACCCCCAGACATTTACAAGGCGCCCCAGCGGAAGGTGTGGGAAAATCCCACGTAATGTTAAACAAGATTAGCGCCAGCCAACAAGAAGCATCCCCGCCACCGCTGATCCCCCGGACATCACCACCACGCTATCGCCCACCGTCGCCCACAATGTCCACTGCTTCCCTCCCCATGTCTACCACCACCGCCCCCACCTACCAAATCTTTGCGCAGGAGCAGTATACCGTCTTTGTCTATGATGGAGGACGCAGCGACCGACGAATCCGTCTCGGCCAGGAGTTGATTCTACATGAATCGACGCTGGCGCGGACACTCGACCCCTTCCACGGACGTGTCACACGAACCCTCAAGTTTCAGGAGGAGTGGGTAATAGTCGAGGTCTGCGGCATCAGGAACCCGAAGCACCGGCTCGGTATGGCAGTACGCTATCGGCAGCTGGGAGGATGGATCTGGTATGGCGCAAGGGTGGTACGAGGACTTTTGTGGACATTTTGCAGCCTCTCCCCCAACAACTTCAGTGTTCCCCTCCCCGCACACTACCAGCTCCCGTTCAGCTACGAGCTGCAGCTCCGTCCTCGCCCCGCCAATAGCACCGTGTCGAGTTTTGGATCTGTACACTGGAAGTAGCGCTCATGGACAGATAACCTATTCACTCCATGCCTCGTCCCCGCTACGACGTAAAACTGGCCGCCCTGCGAGCACTCACCCAGACACTTGCGACACCCAATCCACACTCACCACATCAACACGTATTTTCCCCACAGCCATGTTCAGGATCGAACGAGGGGATCAAATCTTCCTCATCGAACTACTGGACCCCACGAAGAAGAGTGATGAACTGCTAGACGTCACCGATCACCTTAGCAAGTATAAAACCCCGAAGATCGAGGTCTATGGAACCTACAAGCCCGTCGCCCAGCGAGTCAAGCCCGTACCCGGAGTATTTCCCGAAGATGCAAGAGTCGTACGACAATTTCCTGAGAACCCACTCGACAGCCTACCTGCACTCACCAACCGACCACCAGAGTTTACGCCCACCAAGAAGCTGACACAAGAGCGTCTGGAAGGACTAAAAATCAACCCAGATGGTTTCCTGGAGCCAGAAGAGGAGAAACTATTCCAGCACATTTTCAAGCTGAACGAAAAGGTATTGGCTTTTGAGGAATCAGACCGAGGGACTTTCCGAGAAGAATACTTCTCTCCATACATCATCCCCACCATTCCACATGTCCCTTGGGTTGACAAAAACATCCCGATTCCCCCTGGAATTCGTGATAAAGTTGTAGAGCTCCTTCGCTCCAAGATCGAAGCAGGAGTATATGAACGCAGCCAGTCATCATACAGGTCAAAATGGTTCTGCGTTCTGAAAAAGAATGGGAATCTGAGGCTCGTGCACGACTTACAACCCCTCAATGGCATCACCATTCGAGACGCAGGATTGCCACCAACCTTGGATGACTTTGTGGAACCGTTTGCGGGACGACAATGTTACACCGTCCTGGATCTCTTTTGGGCCTTTGATGCACGAAAATTGGACCCGGTCAGCCGAGACCTCACAGCTTTTCAGTCCCCGCTTGGACTGCTCCGTATCACCTCAATGCCCATGGGATTCACCAACTCACCTGCTGAATTCCAAGCCTGCATGACTTTTGTCCTGCAAGACGAGATCCCACATGTCGCAAATGTGTTCATTGACGACCTCCCTATCAAAGGACCCAGCACGCAGTACCTCGACCAGGACGGAAATCCTGAGACCCTAGACGACAACCCAGGGATCCGCCGCTTCATATGGGAACACGCCCAAGATGTTCACCGCATCCTGCACCGTGTAGGGCACGCAGGAATAACATTCTCAGGACAGAAGGCCCAGATTTGCAAGCCAACGGTGATCATTGTAGGACAAAAATGCACGCCAGAAGGCCGCGTACCAGAGGATGACAAAGTAGAGAAGATTCGAAACTGGCCAGCCCCAAAGAATGTCAAGGATGTCCGAGGCTTTATTGGACTCTGCGGGACTGTTCGAATTTGGATTAAGGACTTCTCGGAGAAGGTCCGCCCCTACGGGAACTAACGCTGTTGAAAGCAGAGTTTATATGGGATGAACGAAGGCAGGAAGCATTCAAGGAACTCAAAGACCTGGTAGCCTCTGCCCCAGCCCTCCGCCCGATAGATTACACCTCAAATAACCCAGTGATCTTATCGGTAGACTCTAGCAAGTATGCTGTTGGATTCATCCTGTCCCAGATCGACAATGACGGAAGGAGAAGACCCGCCAGGTATGGATCACTGCCCATGAACGAGACGGAAGCAAATTACAGCCAGCCAAAACTCGAGTTGTATGGACTATACCGAGCCTTGCGGCGATGGAGACTGTATCTCGTAGGCATCAAAACCCTCCACGTGGAAGTAGATGCCAAGTACATCAAGGGCATGCTTAACGAGCCAGACCTTCAACCAAATGCTACAATCAACAGATGGATCCAGGGGATTCTGATGTTTGACTTCAAGCTGATCCATGTACCCGCCACCCAACACAAAGGGCCTGACGCACTCTCACGACGAGCCCTAGGAGAAGGAGAAATAGTCGAAGAAGACGACGGAGACGAATGGTTGGATAACATTGCCCTATACGTTGGAGTACCCCCAGGAGATGTGTGGAGACACTTTGAAGACACACAGACAAGAGAAGATGCACCAGAAGCTCAGATACTCCTCACCACCGAAACCACTCAAGATGCAACCCTGCGAGCCATCTACCACTTCCTGGACACACTGGCGATACCTGATTTCCCAAACTCTGGGACCCGCTACAAGTTCCTCAAAAAGTGTCAGCACTACTTTCTGAAGGAGGGACTGATGTACCGCCGCTTCCCACAAAGGATGCCAGTACGAATAGTGTTCACCACTGATGAAAGACACAAGATCCTCGAAGACGCACACGAAAAACTAGGACATCGAGGAGAAAAGGCCACCTTCGACACCATTTCTCTCAGATTCTTCTGGCCTTTCTACCGCACGGATGTCCGACATCACGTACGATCATGCCGAGAATGTCAAATCCGGAGTGTCAAGAAGGCAGAGGTCCCACTCATCATCTCAACCCCAGTTGACCTCTTCCACAAGGTATACATGGATGTAATGTTCATGCCCACCGCTCATGGATACTCGTGCATCGTCGCCTGTCGAGATGATCTGTCAGGAGTCACAGAAGCCAGGGCATTGCGAAGCCCTACATCCAAGGATGTTGCCCGATTCTTTTGGGAACAGATCATCTGCCGCTATGGAGCCGTTCATGTTGTAGTCACAGACAACGGATCAGAAACCAAGGGCGCATTTGAACTATTGGTCCAGAAATACGGAGTTCACCATATCCGAATTTCACCCTACAACTCAAAAGCAAATGGAGTAGTAGAGAGGGGACACTTCATTCTACGGGAAGCCCTAGTAAAGGCATGCGAAGGCCAAATCTCGAGATGGCCAGAGCTGCTTCCGCATGCAGTATTTGCTGACCGAATCACCATCAGACGATCAACAGGATTCAGCCCATATTTCCTGTTGCATGGAGTCCACCCAGCTCTACCCATGGACCTACGAGAAGCAACCTTTATGGTTGAAGGATTCAGGAGTGGCATGTCACACACCGACCTCCTAGCCCTACGAATCCGACAGCTGGAAAGGAGACCCATTGATGTGGCCAAAGCAGCAGACGTACTTCGAAAAACCAGACTAAACTCAAAAGTCCAGTTTGAGAAGAAGTTTGCACACCGACTACGAAAGGAGGAGTTCCATGAAGGAGACCTAGTGCTAGTCAGGAACACTGCCATCGAACGAGAAATGAACAGAAAGCACAAGCCACGCTACCTAGGACCCTATCAAGTTGTACGAAGAACCCAGAACGGAGCCTACATTGTCAAGGAGCTCAACGGAGACATCTCCCGAGAAAGTGTGGCAGCATTCAGGCTTCTCGCCTATTCACCCTCACAAGACAACCTAGCAGAGTTGGTATCCGACCCCATCTCAGCCATAGGAGCATCACAGTCCCAACCACTCGAGATGCCTCCACAGGAAGAGGATGGAGACCTTGAATGGGACTCTGACCCACCGGAGAATGAGGAAGCTGAAGAAGATAGCGAATCAGAAGATGAGCCAATTGGACGACGCACACGAAGCCAAAAGAGATAGGAAAAGGGAACGACCAGGGACGGTCGTTTGACTGTGGGGCGGATGTCATGCACCAATATGGATTGGTACCTGGACATGGAAGAAGGGCCGGCCATCCACAGGCCCGTAATGACCCAGCAACTGCAACGACGAACAGCCCACCATTCTGAAAGGGCGATACCAAGGTCGTCGGTTCGATCCTGGTGTCACCCACCAAGATGTCAGCATCCCAAAAGGACCTATAAGGGGCCGACCCCATACAAGACCAACCCTCCTAACCAACCAGTTTGCTCAGGGAATATTTCCGCATCTTCCAAAAGGGACCAAGGGCCACCCAACTCCCCACTATCCCCAACCCCCTGGAGCACTTCTCACATCCTCTCCCCACCTCCTTCATACCCCAGAAATCCCCATCATACCCTATGACATCATCACCCTATGACATCATCACCCTACGACATCATCACCCTATGACATCATCGCCCCAAAAGAATCCAGGGTATCAATGACACAAT